CATGTATTGAGTGTTTCCTGTGTACCAAGCACTCTGCTAAGCATGTTTTATGGAATATCTAGTTGGATCTTTACAAGAACCTCATGAGGTAGAAATATAATTCTTGTATATAATTATTTCTGGTGTGCAGATGGGGAAACTGAGGCCCAGAGGGGTTAGTATAACCTGGCCAGGTCACACGACTCACAAGAAGTAAAGCCAAGGTTCGGACTCAGGTAACTGGCTCTAAAGCCACATCTTGCATCTAACCAACAGGAGGCTGGAAGCTCTCAACACAGCCATCTGACTTGTCCCAGTCCAGGCTACACTGATGCTGACCAAAGCCACGCCCACAGGCTACCAGCCGTGACCAGTCCCCATCTGTCTGTCTGTCTGTCTATTTGCCCATCCATCCAATTTGAAGCAGGAAGATACGGTGAAGGCTCAAGCCTACCATTCCTTTCCGAGCCTGCTCCCCTCACCTAGTCTAGACCAAGACCTCTCTTCTGCTGCAAAGGGAGCCCTCAGAAGAAATGTAAAGACCACCCACCCACTTCAAGTGTACAATTCAGTGGTTTTTAGTGTCATTATAGGGCCGTGTGACCATCACCGTGGTCTAAATTCCAGAACACTTTCTTCATCCCCAAAAGAAACCCTGTACTCATGAGCAGTCTTTCCCTATTCTCCCTTCCCCCAGCCTTATCAACCAATAATCTACTTTCTTCTCTATAAATTTGCCTCTTCTGGATTTTTCCTATAAATGGAATCATACATTATGTGTTTTTCTGTAACTGGCTTCTTTCACTTAGTATGATGCTTTTATTCATGTTGTAGCATATATCAACACTTCATTTCTTTATTGCTAAATAATATTCTGTTGTGTGGATATGCTGCTTTTTATTTATCCACCCATCAGTTGATAGGCATTTGGGTCGATTGCACTTTTTGGCCATTATGAATAATGCTGCTATGAACATTCACGTACAGGTTTTTATGAGAACATGTTTTCATTTCTCTTGGGTATACACCTAGGAGTGGAATTGCTGGGTCATATGGTAATTTTTGTTGTTGTTGTTAGAGAGGAAGAGAGAACGGGAGGAGAAAGGGAGAGAGGGGATCTTAGGCAGGCTCCATGCCCAGTGCAGAGCCCAGTGTGGGGCTTCACCTCAAGACCCTGAGGTCATGACCTAAGCCGAAATCAAGAGATGCTTAACCGACTGAGACACCCAGGTGCTCCTAGGTCATATGGTAACTCTTTTTAACTTTTTGAGGAACTGCCAAACTGTTTTCCAAAGTGGCTGCACCATTTTACGTTTCCACCAGCACTGTATGACGGTTCCAATTTCTCCACATTCTTGTCAGTAATTGATGTTTTCTGTCTTTGCAATTATAGCCATCCTAGTGGTTATGTGATGGTATCTCATTGTTGCTTTGATTTGTATTTCCCTAATAACTAGTGATGCGTCTTTTCTTGTGCTCATTGGCCACTTGTATATCTTCTTTGGAGAAATGTCAATTCAAATACTTTGCCTATTTTTTATTGGGTCACTTGTCTTTTTATTGTTAAACTGTAAGAGTCCTTTATATATTCTGGATAGAAGTCCCTTATCTGATATAAGATTTGCAAATATTTTCTCCCATTTTGGGGGTTGTCATTTTATTTTTTCAATGGGATCATTTGCAGCACAAAAGTTTTTAACTGTGGTCCAAATGGTCTATATTTCATTTTGTCTCTTGCGCTTTTTTTTTTTTTTTGTCACTTGCGCTACTGGTATTCTAAGAAACCTCTGCCAAATGCCAGTTCATAAAGATTTATTCCCATATTTCCTCCTGTGAGTTTTATAGCTTTACCTCTTACCTCTAGGTCTATAACCCATCTTGAGTTAATTTTCATATATCGTGGGCAATAAGGTCCCAACTTCATTCTTCTGGTATGTGGAGGTACAGCTGTCCCAATACCACTTGTTGGAAAGACTCTTCTTTCACCATTGAATTGTCTTGGCACTCTTGGAAAAACCAATTGACCATAAGTGTAAGGGTTTATTTCTGGACTCTCACTTACATCCCATTGATCTACGTATCTCTCCCAATGCCAGAACTACACTGTCTTGATTACCGTAGCCTTGTAGTAGGGAAGTGTGGGTCTTCCAATTTTATTTTTATCAAGATCATTTCAGCTATTCTGGATCCTTTGCATTTCCATATGAATTTTAGGATTAGCTTGTCAATTTCTGCACCCCTCTCCCCAAAAGAAAAAGTCAACTGGGATTTTGAGTGGGGTTGGATTAAATCTATAGATCAATTTGGAGAGTATTGCCACCTTAACAATATTTAGTCTTCTAACCCATGACATAGAATACTTTTCCATTTATTTAGATCTTTAAAAGTTTCTCTCAACGAGGCTTTGTAGTTTTCAGTGTACAAGTCTTGTACTTCTTCCATTAAAATATGCCTAGATACTTCATTTTTCAAATGGTATTGTAAATGGAATTGTTTTCTTAATTTCATTTTTGGAATGGTCATTGCTAGGATATAGAAATATACTTGACTCCTGTTGTTGATCTTGTATCCTGAAATCTTGCTGAATGTGTTTATTGGTTCTAATATTTTTTCAATGGGATCCTTAGGATTTTCTATGGACGAGATCATATCATCTGCACGTGAGGTGGTTTAGTTCTTCTTTGCAACCTGGATGTCTTTTATTTCATTTTATTGCCCAGTGGCCCTGGCTAGAACCTCCATGCGATGTGGAATGGAAGTGAGAGCAGCCTTCCTTGTCTTGTTCACGATCTTTGTGGGCAGGTATCTAGCCTTTCACCACTGCGTGTGATGGTGGCTGTGGACTTTTCACAGATGCCCTGTATCAGGTTGAGAAAATCCCCTTCTATTCTGTTTGTTGAGTGCTTTCATCACCCACGAGTATTAGACGGACGTCGGAGAGGAGACAGCGGTGAGGGTTCCGCCCGCAGGGGAGCCGTGGGGTGGTGCTGGCAGGACCCCAGGCAGGGGTGAGGACCTGAGAATGGAGGGCTTCTGGATTGCTTGTCCTGGGAGACAGCAGTCTGACAAGATAACGCCTCCTGCCATCTAGCACATGGTGTGGTGTAGGGAGTCCCAAAGATGCGCTTGATGTAGGCCCCTGAGTAGTTCTGATGGAGAAGCCAGGGCTTTCCCAGAGGACAGAGAGGGGCCCGGGGCTTGGCAGATATGGCTGTGCATGGACCACGTGGCCAAGACCAGAGAGGAATAAAGATGCTTTCACAGAAGTCCCCACGGAGGGAAGGCTGTGCCCCAGGATGAGACGGGAAGGATGCCAGCATAGGATGGAGCACCTCCCAAGAGCCAGGAGCCTCTCCCTGTACCCCAAGCCCCCCAAAGTCATCCCCAGGAGAGGGAGGAGAAGGAGAAAATCCTGAACTGCCTGACTTGAAGTTTATGGCGTTTTACCACGAAGCGGCAAAATTACTTTTTACTGCCATCGGACGGAATGGAGGCCTGAAAAAATTTAAAAGGCTTTATTTCTCTGTTGTACACCTGAGGGTGTGGTGGAATCATTCAGCAGACACCAGTGAAGCATGCGACGAGTGCAGGTGCTAGGCTCAACACACAGGTAGGACGCAGGGGTGTGTCCAGGACGTAGGGGTGTGGATCCACAGACCTAGCTGGTCCGTGCTGCTGGGAGGCAGGAGGCACAGGAGCTGGGGATGGGTCCTACGGCTGGCAGGAGTGACTGGTTTCAGAGCATGCTGGCCCCTCCCCACTCTTAGCCATGGGAGAGAGGCAGCGATTCTCTGGGTGGTTCTTCTGGCTCCCAGGTACTCATGGGCTGGACTTCTCTGCTGGATCAAATGTTTGCTGGAAAGCCCTTTGATGTCAGCCTGGCAGCAAGGGGCACTGAAAGTCAGCATCCTGAAGGGCTTGCATCCGTGATTCATCAGACGTCCCAGGCATCAGAAGAACCGCATCAGTAACCGTACCCACCCTACCCCAAGCGTGTTCACCGCATGTCCGTTTGGAGGTCTAAAGGCCTAGGGGCCAGGCACCTGTAGTTCTTGGGGTTTCACCTGTAGAGACAAGGTCCAAGGAACACCACAGCAGCCACCCTGTGTTGCAAACAACCTTTCCTCCAGACTCACAGAGAGGAAAGGAGGTCAAAACAAGAAGCCAGAAAAATCACATAAGTGATCCCCTCCCCTGCCTTCTCATACTCCTGCTTTTTTACTGTATAGTTTACAAAACCATGTTTGCATTTGATTCTTCCTAAAGCCCTAATAGGTAAATAATGGAGACCCATTGTTAAATACCCCATTTTACAGATGAGAAAACTGAGGTCCAGAGTGGGCCAAAGTTTGCCAAGCTCACAAAGGTAGCTGAGGGTAGCCTAGACTGGAACGTAAGGCGGAATTCTCTCTCGTCTGAGGTTCATTCCATCACAGAGAAGTATAAGGACAACAACAAGGTAGATGGTGAGATCCCGAAAACAGGAAGAGAAGTGTCATGGGGCTCAGATACTCTCACCACGGAGGACCCCAGTCACAAGCTACCAGCGCACCTCACTGGATCGTTCCGTTGACCTCTGCTGCCACCAAGTGGTGATTCTGCAGTTCATCAGCCGAGGGAGGCCTCGGTGACTGATTTTTTTTTTTTTTTTTTTTTGGTACTGCAGCAGGAGGGAACAGAGAAATCAAGGAAACACTCTCAAAGGGGAAAGGAAAAGAATCTAAGGATATTTTCCCCACTGGGATTTAAGCTAAGAATGGCAATTAATCTATGCCAGTTCTGCCGACTGGTGGTGGCGGCCCAGGGCCCTCCGCTGGGGATTCTCAAGTGGCATTCAGTGCGTCAGGAAAAGGCTCTATGACTGATTAGGGACGCCCGTCGTCGGCACAGAAGGGAGAGTGGCATCATGGACACATGCCACAGCACAGCCAAAGAGCAGTGGCCTTCCCATGTGGTTCTAGTGAGAGAGAAAATTCAGAATAATGAAACCATTCTGGAAACCAGACTGTGGACAAAATATTTTATTGGGTTTTGTTCTCCATGTGACCACAAGGCCCGGAGAAGGCCCATCCTCCCAGCACGCTCAGCGCCACCGCCTCCCAAGTGCCTCATCAGCTCTTGCCACCACTCAGGTGGGGAGGCCCTTACCAGGCTTCCTCTCCTTCCATCGCGCCCACCCTGCCCACCTGTCGCAGCTTGGCGAAGAGAAGCCTGACTGCCATCCTTGCTTTCCTCCTCACCTGCGTGGAGGGGTTCTGTGGGCCAGCGCCACCCACAGAGATCGAGACCGAGAGGAGGGTGTAGATCTCTGTAGAGATCGCTGTAGAGATCTAAAGAATGAGGGTGGTCAGTGTCCCTTGGACACTGAAGGCAGAAACATCTGATTCAGAAATGACCCAAAGAAGTTCTTGAAGTTTTTATTTGGAAACATGGAGACAACGGCACTCCTCTACGAACTCCCAGCGAGCCCACAGCAGGCGTGGGGGGCAAGGTCGATGTTACCCAGCTTTGCACCAGGGGCCAGTATGGGTCGGAATTAGCCGGTGCCAGTTGGCGGTCCACCGCTCCCTCCCCAGGCAGCTGCTGAGTGGCCCCAGCCAGGAGGTAAGGATCAGAGCCCTCAGATCGGGGAAAGAAGGGATTCTGCAGTCAGCGCCAATGGCCGAGTGCCCACCCGGCCCACAGCACGGGTGGAGGGGAGGCCCTCTTTCTCTCCTGTAAATCCACTCCCGTGGCTTCTCTAGATGGCCGCCTTCCGCGGTAGCCAAATGAGGCTGTGGTCAGGTGACACCAGCTCTGGCCAGGTGACGCTGGCTCTGGGGGAAAAGGATGAAAAAATAAGGCTTTCATCTAACTGGGGTTATCAGTCAGCAAGATCTAAGGGTCAACAACCCATTGAAAAAAATCATTTCTGCGAAGCAACCGTTGACGGAGGATCACCAGGAGAACAGGTGTGAAGCGCAAGGAGGTTGTCTGGGGTTATTCCTAAGTGTCCCAAAAAAGGTATTCCAGGAAGAATGTATCTGCTTTCCTTGAAATTGGATTTCTCAGGAATTGAAAGTGGATCAGTGAGGTTTGGAGCAAGAAGGTCACAACAGCAGGAGGCAGGCCAGCATTACTCCGGGAAGCTTCTGGGACAGCGGATCCTGGTCGGTGGGTAGAGATGGCCCAGCCGGAATCAGGGGCTTCCAACAAGTCGAACAGCTGACACCTGACAAGACCGGGACCCCACTTCTACCAACAAGGTCATCTTTCTCGTGCTGAGTCAGGTATCTCCCTGTGAACAGGTGAAACTAACCACATCCCAAACTACCGCCTCACGCGGCCTTCGCTGGACTTCACACAGCCCCTGGGTCACTCATATGTGTGATCCTGGGGAAGAAATAACTGAGAGGATGAATGAAAAGTCAGCATTCTTCCTCCACGGGAGCTGGTGGGGGTGAGGGAGAACTCTGGGCCTGCTTGCTGGAAGGAGGCTGGAGGAGCCAGGGGTTGGACTCTGCTCCCTGCAGACACCGAGAACAATCCCGTGCCTTCCCACAACCTATGCCCGGGGACGCGAGAGAGTCACCCTCCCACCCCCTCGCAGGGACCGCGGGGCCCTGTGGCTCTCTGACATACATCATGTCTCACCCCGCGCCCAGTGTGGACTCCTAAGTGAGGCACAGGTGTCCACGTCTTCAGAGACCGGGTGCTCTTGCTGCCAAGAGCGTGATCTGCCCATGAACTCAGAGCTACCCGGTAAATCCAAATCCAGGACTTGATAAAGGGCCTCGGAAGTTGTAACTCCTTGCATGAGACTTGTGCATGATGAGGCTCCAGAAAAGTCACTGGGGACCCTCCTCTTCCACCAGAGAGCCACAGCCTCCAGGCCCACACCTGCAGAGCCAAGGCCAGCACCCATCTGTGCCTCGTGGCCCGTGAGAGGACTTTCAGAAAGAGGAGCTTCCGACTGGGGTGCTCACTGCTCTGAATGGCCCAATCCAGGACCATCAGAATTTGGCTTGCTAGAAATTTCTTCCTTCCTCCTGAAGTAGCCAATCAGCAGGCTGGTGACAAGCGGCTGGTGCGACAGCTCAGGCAAGCATCCAGCCGCTCCGGGTGCCACCAGGTCTTGCTTGGCCCTCCAGCCACCTTGCTGCTGAGTATTGAATCACATAGACAGATGGTCCTGAACTCTTAAATGGGAAGAATGAGTAATAAGATACTGCATAAAACAGGTATTTTATTTTGTTCTCTCTGTTTATCTGTATATTTGGTTTTTTTCCCCACAATAAAGAGGCACTGATTTCATTACAAGATTTTCTGGAAAGCCACTTTCATCTGGTCACAGGGGGGAGTGGCCGGTATCTGAGAACCAGACCATTCCTCTGCCTTGCCCCGGACAAAACCCAAGGACAGTCGTGCTTCACTCAGGATAAAGCTTAAGTATGCAAAATGTGTTACTCCTGTTTTCCTTTTGTAAGAGAGGGCCAAGAGCCAGGCGAGACGTGATGGTGGGTGCTTTAGTGAAGAGCTACAGCATTTGAGGTAAAAGCCGGCATTCCAGGGCTTGCCCTGGGCTCAGTCTTGTCGGCCTGATCCATCACGCCCTTCCCGGGGTCTAGGGTCTGGCCCCATCTGCACATGCCAGCAGGCCCCTGCTGCCCCAGGGGAGGCAGCAGGGCAGGTTTGCTAGACCTTTCTGATGAAGACCATCCTTCTTGAGAGAATTTGCGGTCACCAAGGCCGAAGCAAAATGGTTTCTTGTTGACTAGAAAATTCAGTGATTCATCCCCCTTGATCTTCTCAGCTCTGCAGGTTACCAGTGTGGAGCCAGAGAAGGAGAAACAGTGGGAGAAAGAAGAGAAGGAGCTGAGAAGATACTGGAAGCTGATCATCCGTCTTCTCAACAATGTTTCTGAGTGGCCATCTTGGTGTGAGGCTCCGTGTGAGGCACCAGTGATAGACAAGTGAAGAAACAGTCGGAGCTCTCCCGGGACTTTCACGCTGGCTGGGGAATGAGGAAAGTCAGCAAACAGTTATGATGCAAAGGGGATGTGGTAGGGGCTGAGCAGGGGCTGTGGGGGAGAGCCTACAGCAGGCACAGCTCATCTTGGCTGAGGCATAAGGGCAGGCTTCCTGCAGAAAGAGACTTCTAGACTAAAGCCTGGGTGATGAACAGGAGTTGGTGAAGCCAAGGACGGGGGGCGGGAGGGGCAGTTAAAAAATGGTGTCAGGCAGGGACAGCATGTGCAAAGATCCAGAGGCAAGAGAGAGAATGTTATTTTCAGGATGCTGGTGATGTTGGGGTTGATGACTAAAGCTTTACCTAAAGGGCAATGGGGAGTCACTGAGGGCATTTGACTAAGGGAGTCACTTGCTCAGATTGCTTTTCTTAGAATGCTGGGGCCACAGTGATCTTTTGCAATGAGAGAGGGAGAGAGAAAAGGTATGGGAGGCAGGGAACAAGGGCAAAGGCTGTCCCTTCAGGGCTTTGAGAGCCCATTGATGGCCCTCAGACTCATGCTCTGAGTCCACTAGGGAGGTGGGGAGATGGTGCCCCATTAACAGAGGGTGGGCAGTGTGCTTTAAGTCCTCATTTCTGGGCCCCAGCCACTGAATTTATAGAGTAAAGTGAAATACACCTCTCTCCAAGGGCTGTTGAAGCTGCTGGATGGGAAAACAGATGGCTGAGCTCACTATCTACAGGCATATTCTGTGCCGATCTCAGTTACTGAGTGCCCGGCTCACCACCAGTCACAGGGGGGCATTTCAGAAGGGCCTTCTGATGACAAGGGTGGCCACCGTAGCCCCAGAAACGACACAGATTAGATAGGAAATGAATGACGGGGATGTTTCAGAAAAGTCACGACGTGTCCATGGCAAAGGAGAGGGTGTCAAGCCCCAGGGAGGTGCAGCAGGCTGGGAAGGAAGCATACTGACCTGACGCTCAGGGGCTGGTCACGGTGTGGTCCCTGCGGAGCGCCTGCAGCGAGAGCTCATACCCAAGGAACATGGCGGCGCTCATGGGGAAGCCGCGCACAGTGTTCACCGTGATGCCTCGGAAGAACACCTGTGGCAGGAGGAAGCGTCATCAGAGGACTGACCCAGACCCTCTGCAGGGCCACCACTGAGGCGCAGAGGACAGATTGGGGATGTTGGCCACTTGTCCCAGGCTGGACTCCACAGAGCCCAAAGGACCCTTGCGAGCCTGAACCACCCCGGATGCCCCAGTCATGCCCCTGCCTCGACCCACATCCCCTGGGACTGGGCTTTTCCTCCCAGGCCTGGTACACGTACACTAAATACTGGGGGCAAACTGTTGACCATGAACACCCACATACACTTGCTTAATGGCTGCTCTTTCTCATGTATATACCCACACGCATGTGTATACACATGCACACGCACGCATGCACACACGCATGCACGCATAAGATGCTCTGGAACCTGGACGTCCAAGCTCTCCACTGCACTCACTTTGCATTGGTGGACAGAGCAGCCATGGCCAACCATTTTGACAGGTGCTTCATAGGCTGTCCCCCAAGGGGCAGAGCGGGGAAGAACTCAGGCCATGCTTTTAGGCATGAAGTGGAGACACAGCTTTGGCATTTGATAGCTGTATTACTTGGGCAAGTGGCAAAGTCTCTGAAACTCAACTTCCCAACTGCAAAATGGGGTAACAATACTATTGAGCTGATATGGCTGCTGAAGGAAACGAGATGATGCTTTCAAAGCTCTTACACCAGGCCTGCCATGCAGCCAGCGTTCATGAACTGCTGACGGTCCCATCACCCTCATTGTGAGCAGGAGCCATCCTTACACCGAGTGGCACTCAACCTTCGGTCATTAGTATGAGGGCCGAGGGGACTGGCCTGTATCGATGAGTTGCTTAAATCAGCCATTCATACGAGAACCCTGTATTTGTCTTCCATCCCTCCCATTGCTAGGGCATATGATAAGATGCTTCACTTCCTCCCTGAGTTGTCCTGCCTAGTGCTGGGTAGAAACTGGTCAATGTAATGTGGTCCCAGCCCTTGCCCAGTTTAAAACCTACTCGGTGGAGGTAAGCCCCCTGTGGGAATAATTACAATACAATCTAGAATGTGATGAGAACAGATCAGGGCTTTGGGGGAGGGGGCACCTGTCCTTACATGTCTTCCCTGGGAAGAGACAACACATCTAAAGGAAACCATACCCAAGCATAAACGACCCAACAACTGCCAGGAATATGACGTACACCTGTTAGCCGACTCTTGTATATTTACTAAGTGTAATAAATAGAGCTGGTACTGTAATTTTGAGGAAGTAGAAATCCAACCCTTTTACATTTCCCCAGTTTCCTTGGTTGTGAGGCACTGTGGTGTCAGGGTAGAGACAGGCCACTGTCGTCGGCCAGGATGTAAGGGGGTCTTCAGGAGAGGCACCTGCACCTTAGCACTCCATGGCAGCCTGCAAGACATAGGCTGGTTGTGGTGGGGGGAGAATGGCCTCTGTGGGTTTGGGGGAAGCCTTAACCCTCACAGGGAAGGAAGCTGATAGACAAGGACCCCCAGACGGGAGCAAGAGGTTCAGCCAAACCCTGGAATGATTCAGGCAAGGGGCAAGCAGGACATTTGTAACATCTAATGTCTAACCTTTCTGGAATTCCCCAGGCTCACCCAGAGTGACTGAATAACAGCAAGGAATTGGCCCAAGCTCCAAAAGGAAAATTCCACACTGGGTGCCCATAAACACTCCCCTGTGGGCCTGGGCTTGGCTCTGCTCTATGAGGCCATGCCAGGCAGGGCCCAGCTTGGAGTGTGGGCCACCTCTCCCACAGCGCTGGGCCCTGCGGGAACCATGGAACACTCCAGACAGACAGACATGACCTCCCTCCAGCAGCCCTGGCCTGCTCTGCTGTGAGGTCCAAAGATGGCAAAGTGCAGACCTGCTGGCTCTTACCCTGAGCGTTCGGAACACAAAACCACCAGGCCTAGTCTCTCCTCATGAAGCCTCGATGGCTCCCCACTGCCCAGGGAAGTCTACACCCTTCCCTGGACTGCCAAGACCCTTATGCTCGGGCCCTGCACTTTCTCTGGGCAGCCTCTTACACTTGACATTCTGGGCACGTTAACAACCTGTCGTTCCTCCAGGGAGCCAGCTCTCTTCCACCACTGGGTCTCTTCTATTCCATCAGCTGGAATGTTCCCCAGCCTGGCTGCACCCTCTAGCAGTCTTCCCAGGGCCACCCCAAGCTGGACTGTGGCTCACTGTCTTCTGTGCACTCAGGATCTCTGCCACCACAGCACTTCTCACACTGTCTCTACCCACCCATCATTTGTCTGTACCCCCATTAATAATCTCAGGGCAATGAGAGCAGGGCTGTGGTGGTTTACCTTGGAATCCCCAGCATCTACACCTCTGAATCCCCAACATTTACACCTCAGAACCCCCAGCATCTAATGCTTTTCTTGGCCCAGAGGGCCCTTTGTAAGTCTTACCAAATGAATCCGTGGATGGATGAATGGATGGATGGAATGAACAAATTCCTTGTTGTGAAAAGGGAACAGTCTTTGAGCTGAAAGAGTCCTGCTGGTGTTGGTGGTAGTGGGGGATTCCTGGAGTGGAGGGACGGCTCCAGTCCCCAGATGGCAGAACCAAAGGGCAACCAACTCTGCTACCTCAGGAAACGGCTCTTCCTACAAATGTTCCTCTCTGCTTCTCCTTACAGTCATTCAATCTCAAGCCACTGTCACAAACCCCCTCCCAACAGCCACCTCTGTGCAGCTGAAGGATACCAAGTCCCTCCTCTGGCCTCCTCATCTCAGACAGTAACCCTCCCAGTGTGTGCAATGGCCAAAGTGGCCCATGACGAATGTCAGAGCAGGCAGAGAACGGACTCACACACAGCAGGGAGAGAATGGACTTTTTTTTGGATTCGGGGATGCCCCCGAAGTCCTAGACTTCTAATTCCCTTTATCCAAAGGCTGCTTTCCCAGTAATCATTAAGTGGGTTACAAGGAACTGCCAAACTTGGGTACCATCACCATTATTCTACTCTTTCCCAAGTCTTCATTCCCACCGAGTTCTTCTTCCATAGTGAAGTGGGGACAGGTGGGCTTACCCTGCCTCAGTGAGCCACAGTACAAACTGTTCAGGAATGATGCTCCACAGAGCCAGCCCCACAGTCAGCTGTAACTGGAGCCATCCACTGGGTCCCCAGAAAAGCCAATTCCTCCTGCTGCTGGGAAGGGCTGTGAGACAAGCCAGCTGTCCAGGGCTATGTGAGATGTTTTCTTCATGCTACCATTTATGTTTACATGCAAACACATATACAAACATACAGTACAGTCCGTGAATATTTTTGGAATATGTTATAAGAAACTCATAACAGTGACTGCCTTTGAGAGAAGATTGAAGACCAAGGAGGGACCATTAGACAGTATATCCTCTTATATCTTTCGAAACTTCCTATGTTCATGTATTATCTATTTTTAAAGCCAACTAATAAAAAAAATTAAAAATGACTTTCAGTCAGTGAGTGGTTAATCCAAGCTGAATACTGCTACCGCTACTTAAAACCTGTCTCTGAATATAAACTAGGGACCAATGCTACTGAACTTTGTTTTTAACAGAGCACAGTAATTTTTGGAGGAAATAATATCAGCAATATATTTAGCCTCTATAGACTTTATAGAATTAGGACACAATATTTTGACATTAATTTGAATAACTTGACACATTAGTATTTTAATCAACAGCAGACAAGAATATCTCAAATAAAACAGCTTCTTTTTTGAAATCTTTCTTATGTGTCCCTCTGTGCTTGTTGGTTGAATCACAAACAGTGCTTCTGCTAAAACAATAAAAAAGACCAGTGAGGTGAGGATTCTAGAAGTGTGGCAGAGTAGGAAATGCCAGCAATCTGTTTCCTTACCTAGATCAGAGCTGTGCTGACGGAATCTGTCTGATGTAACTCTTTTGGAATTCTGGGGTTTATTGAATGCTTACAACTTCAAGGAGAAGGTTTGGACAGTAAATCTGGTTAATTTCAATCCATTTTAGCTCTTAGCAAGGTAGCAGCTACCCATCCTCCACCCCCAGACCTGTGGCAGGCAGGTGGGTGTGCAGACACTCTGGGAGCAACCTGCACACACAGCTTGTGGAAGCCAGAGCGGGCAATAAGGACCCTGTCTTGCAAATATTGGAGATCTGTGTTTTGATCACTGATTGCTGTTTCTGATCACAGAGGTGCAAAGAGGAAGTTAGCCACTGCTTCTTCGTCTACCCCACTGATGCAAGTCCTTCCTCCTCTGGCCAATGCCCCTTTTCCCCTTAATTTTTCTCTTTTTCCCGTCTTGGGAGCTAGATGTTAAAGACTAGGACATTCAAAAGCAACTGCAGGTATGGGGAAAGTCGGAAAGTAACTGTGCATGCGCAGAGAAAGGCTCAGAAAAGACCTGAGAAGACCTTAAGTTTACACTTCAGGTTGATCTTTGGCATAGAGACAGCCTACAACAATCAAAAAAGTGAAGCAATAAACAGTAACAAAAGACACTAGACACTGGGGAAGGAGGGGAGAAATCTGATTTCCAGAGTTACCACATAATTCAATTCAAAAGTCTAATTTTCAATAAAAAATAACAAGGCATAAAAAGAAACAAGAAAGTATGATCCATTCAAAGAAAAAATAAGTGAAGAGAAACTGTCCCTGAAAAAGACCTTAGCAGATCTACCTAACAAAGACATTAGAACTGTCTTAAAGATGCTTGAAGAACTAAAGGAAGATATGGAGAAAGTCAAGAAAATGATACATGAACAAAATGAAAACATCAATATGAAATAGAAAATCCAGAAAGAAACCAAACAAAAATTCTGCCGCTGAAAAGTACAATAACTTGAGTGAAATATTCACTACAAGGATTCAAAGGTATATTTGAACAGCCAGAGAAAAAAGAGAGCAAACTTAATAAGACAATGGAAATTATTGCGGTTGAGAAAAAGAAACAAGGTTGAAGAACAGTGGAAAGAGCCTAAGGGATCTGTGGGAAACTGTCAAGCACACGAATATATGCACTGTGGGAGTCCCAAAAGGAGAAGAGAGATGAGGCAGAGAATATTTGGAGTAATAATTGTCAAAAACTTCCTAAATTTGGTGAAAGACATGACTATAAACATCAAAGAAGCTTAATGACTCCAAGTAAAATAAACTCAAAAAGACCCACACCAAGACATGTTATAATCAAACTTTTGAAAGCAGCAAGATAGAAGGAACACATTACATACAAAGGATCCTCAGTAAGTCTAACAGCATATTACTTATCAGACACTTTAGAGACCAGAAGTCAACAGGCCAACATATTCAAAGTGTTAAAAGAAAAAATCGTCAGTCAAGAATCCCGTATCCAGGAAAACTATCCTTCAAGACTGAGAGAGAAATGAAGACAGTCCCAGATAAACAAAAGCTGAGGGAGTTCACTGCCACTTGATCTACCCTGCAAGAAATGTTCAAAGGAGTTCTGGAGGGTGAAATGAAACAGCACTGGGAGTAACTTGAATCTGTATGAAGAAATAAAGATCTCAATTAATACAGGAAGAGAGTGACATCAGCATCGTGGAAGTACAAAATGTCCCTATCTTGTCCCCACCTCAACAACAAATTTGGGCATTCATACACCCATGCAGGTGCCTCTGTGGGAGTTGTGGGATCCAGCACCACATGCTAAGGGACCCAAGAGTCCTGCCCACCTGTGTATCAGGTACTAGGCAGAGAGCCTATGAACTGGCTCTAGCCCCTCTCAGCTGCAGTCTGGGAGCATTTGGAGGCAAGGACTTGGCCAGTATATACATATATGTGTGTGCGTGCGTGTGTGTGTGTGTGTGCGTGCGTGCGTGTATGTGTGTGTGCGTGTGCGTGTGTGTGTGTGTGTGAGAGAGAGAGAGAGAGAGAGAGTCTGTGTGTGAGTTTGGATGCACTGGAGCAGGGAGGGCGGGGGCCAGGTTGCAGGCTGCCTCATAGCCGAGACCAGAGGTGACAGGGTGTGGACTCGAGTGGGGTGAGGGAGCAGAAGACAGACTGGGGGACTGGATGTTGTGAGATGTGACGACTGACGTGGCTCTGGGACCTCCTACGTGGAAGAGGGCGAGGCACCGAGCAGTGAGTGAGGAAGCTGTGCCCCCAGCCTTTCCTGATGAGAAGGCAACCTTTGGTGACACACAGATGCAGGTCCAGGTCCTAGCTCTGCCATGCACCAGCTGTGTGACCTCAGGTAAGTTACCAGTCCTCTCTGAGCCTGTCTCCTCCATCAGCCTGGGGCATGGACGAGATGAGACAAGGATCGAAGTAGGGCTTGATATGGTAACCACCAGTACTGCAGTTTCCTGATTCCCCTCTGTAATCTCACATGCCCCCAAATGTCTGGCCCACCTTCCAGGGACTGACACCGACCCCACATCACTGCTGTGGGGCTTACTTTAAGACCTTCCTTCCGGTAACTCTGGGAGATACAATCCAGGATGCCTTTGTATTTGTTTAAATAAACCCCGTCAGCTTGGAGTCGACTTTTCACGACATCCATAGGAGTCGCTGTCCCCCAAGAAATTGCTCCTGTAAAGAGAGAGACAAACAGGTGTCAGGGACTGGCTGGTTGGGGTCTGGAGGGGACGTGGCTCCCTGCCCCTTTCTACCACTGACAGGCTTAACAAGCTGCTGGGGGAAGCGGGCAGAGCTCAGGCAGGACCTGTGAAGACCATCCCTGAACTTCCCTCACCACTCACTGTGGAACTTTGTAGAAGTCTCCTCTAGGCCTTGGGTCTGCCATCTGTAAAATGGGGCAACAGTACCTACATTCACGGGGTTCCTGTTAGGCCAAATAAACAGATGCACGTGAAGCATTTAGCACAGTGCCAGGCCCACAGCCAGCGCTTTGTCAGTGGACACCTTTATTAGCAGCTTTTACTGGAGACACAGGAACAGGCCCCACCAATACTTTGTAGTGCCTTTCCGGGGCACCAGGGGCGAGAGCCCAGACCGAAGGCTGGGGCAGAAGGCTTGCAGCTCCCCAGAGACAGAAGGGACTCTGAATACAGGGAAGCTAAGCGAACACTTGCAGACAGGCTGCTTGCCAACGGAGGGCCAAGTAAGGCCTGAAAAGAGCAGGAAGGTCTTTACAAATCTTGCCCCTTTTCTGGACATCTGAAATTGAAGCCTTGGGACGATGTAACACTAGGTCGTCTTCACTGGAGAAGTTCAGGTGCCCTAGTTTGAGCACTTTGATGACTTTAAAGGACTCTCGGAAAACAATGCCAGATTACTGTAGAAACACTAAAATTGGCACATCCTTAGACAGGGTGAGAAAAACAAACTGAGAGACCAAAGTCCAAGGCAGCTGGTTTGCAAGGTTTACTGATTGCTACCCAGAGACTCCCAAATGAGGCCTTAGTCTGTCCTGGACCCTCTGCCCATCCCAGCCTCCAGCCCCCGTGGCCTCCTGCCCATGATCCTCTGGGAACCCTCTGCACCTCCCTTCCCTCTTGCCCCCTGCCAGGATAATGGGGCTGCTTCTCCTGGAGACTGTCCAGGTGCTGCCCTGGCATACTCCCCTGTTCCTCAGCCCACGGGCCAGGGTTTTATAAAATGTGGTCTGCCTACCAGGCCACTCAAACCTGCTCTCACCAGAATCGAGAACGGATGAGGCCTCATGGGTCCTCTTGGCCAGCAAGTGCTTACTAATCACTTACTAGGATCTGGCACAGGCCAGGCCTCAGACGCATGGGGGCAGAGGGTGGACATTGGTTTTTGGTGGCTAAGACAAGGGCTTTGTTATATGCTTGCGGAGTTTCAAGCCTAGCTAATGATGATGGGGGTGGGGGGAGGAAGTGCTAAGGTCTGATCATTTTCTTCTCTTCAGAAGATCTTTCCCATCAACATCACACTTGCCATGTTATCAGCCTTCTTAAAAAGCAATGCTCTCTTGACTTCCCTACCCTGCTCCGGCCATAAGCTGCATACCTGTCTTCCCCATCACAGCCCAGCCAAACCCCTCAGACATGCCGGGTGTCCTTGCACTGTCCAATTTCTTTCATCCCATTCTCTCCTGATCCCACTTCAGTTGGGTGTTCACACTTCTCTTCACCAAAATGGGTCTTGTCACAGTCCCTGGTGACCTACATATTGCTAAATCCAGGCAGCAGGCATAGCAAGTGCAAAGGCCCTGCGGTGGGGAGCAGCCACGCTGATCAGGGTGCAGCAAGGAGACCTGTGTGGCTGGAGCAGAGCAAGCAAAGGGAGGGGAGCAGGAAAGGAGTGCAGAAGGGTAAGAGGCAGCTGGATCATAAAGGGACTGAAATCCACTGTAAGAACACTGATTTTTACCCTAAATGAAGCGGGGATGCTGTGTGGTTTCTGAGTAGGGAGGGTAGGTAACCAGTCCATGGTCACCGAATGAGCAGGTGAGGATTTGAACTGGGATCTTGCCGACTGCAGAGTCCCTGCCATACTGTCTTCATTAGCTGTGTGCCCTTGGGTTGGTCACTTAATCTCTCTAAACCTCGGTTTTCTCATCTGAAAAATGGGGAAACTGATTCCTCCCTTACAGAGTTAATGAAATCCTCACATGAGAAAGGTTTACTGTGTCAGCATTCAAAAAAAGGTGAACCCCAATAACAGATTTCCTCTTCAAAGCTCAGTAATACCTGACACAAAAGAAATGGTCAGAATACATCCTCTGACTGAAAATTCAACAACCCTGAATAGGGACTTGCCATTCCCACAGGTCCAGAGGGAAGGAGAAGCAAAAAAGAGGGAGACCATTCCCCATACCCCGGCTTTCCTCTGTCTGGCCAGGTCTGGCACAGAGTGGGTGCTGAACAGAGAACTGCTGCATGAGTGGCTGGATGAATCGTGCCCTTCCCTGGGCTGAGAAGCGTATGATAAGCTCCCCAGCCATCCCACTACAGGCATCAGCCCAGGGACAGGGGTCAGTATGGCTGTCCTTACCTGCCAGGCCGCCGGCCAGCCACACGGCACAGGGGCTGGGGCCTGTGCAGGCCTCGGGCGTGATCCAGTCGTTCAGGAACACATAGGGGATGAAGTAGAGACAGTAGCCCGGGACATCCCTCAGCAGCATGGCGCCAACGCCCCGGTACATCCCTGCCAGGCCCTCAGTCCGCACGATGGTGGCGATGCAATGCACAGGTCCCTGGTAGACTGGCTGCACCCCAAGAGCCACTGTCCTGGGTTTCAAACCAAGGTTGCCTGCAAAGACAGGGAGGAGAAATGGCAAGTGACACAGGGGGCAAGAGACAGGCCAATCTCCAGCACTGGAGCCAGCCCGGCGCATTGACAATTTCCACTCACATGGCCTGCTGGTTTTTACCAGAACTGCCGACCTTAGCAGCTCAAACCAAGATTCTCAAGTCCCAAGAGGAAGGCCAACACATGCAACTAGCTGTGCAGCCAGAGTGGAGACAAGGTCTGCCGGGGGAGAAAGCACCAAGTGCCTGAATGCTTTCTGGTCGACCATCACTATGTCTTTGTGAGCAGCACTGACTGCAGATGTCCAAGATCAAAGATGAACAAGCTGTACCCAGCTCTTTCCTGAAGCAGAGGTTGCAAAATCAAGGTACTCTGTGTGTGTGTGGAGCGGGGGTACTTGTGCAGAGTGTGGTAAAAAAGGCATATGAAGTTTGGACCTGGACTGTTCTGGTTCCAAATCTAGAATCCACTACTTAAAAAACTCTTCGACCTTGGTAGGCCACCTTTATCGGCCTTTGGTCCCTTAACTTTAAAAAGAGAACAGGCCAACTATTTATTGTATACAAAGTTGCTAAGAAAGTAGATCTTAGGGGCGCCTGGGTGGCCCAGTTGGTTAAGCATCTGCCTCTGGCTCAGGTCATGGTCCTAGGGTCCTGGGATCGAGCCCCGCATCAGGCTCCCTGCTCAGCGGGAGGCCTGTTTCTCCCGCTCCGCCTGCTTGTGTTCCCTCTCTTGCTATGTCTCTATCTGTCAAATAAACAAAATCTTAAAAAAAAAAAAAAAAAAGAAAGTAGATCTTAAAAGTTTTCTACACACACACAGTAACTATAGGCTATGACGAATGTGTCAACTAACCTTACCTTGGTAACTGCCTCACGATACACATGCATATTAAATAATCGAGTTGTATACCTTAAACTTACACAGTGTTATATGTCAATCATATCTCAATAAAGCTGAAAAAATTTTAAAGGAAAAAGAAGAGAACAGGTGAGTATACATAAAGTAATACCTATAAATCGCTCAGCACGGTACTGGGAAGGCTGGAGGGGGAGAAGTTATCCACAGGTTATTACTGAGGCTGAGGTGACCAGCGTGAATCAGGAGGATACATGGGCTGGAGCGCCATATGTTCTGAGCCTCCAGCCTTGGCCAGCAAGCAATGACTCTGTCTCTTCCTTTTAATCCTTCCTCCAGGCTCCTCTGTCTCCTCCTCTGATGTTCATCTCCCCTGCTACGGACCCTTTAGCTCACCTTTGACTCATGACCAGAGAGGCCTCCCAGTCCCAGGGCAGATATCGTGGGCTCTTGTTCTCAACATTCTGTTCTGGAAGAACGAACGTGATATGACTAGGAAAGAAATAGAACGAAGCTTGCCTGTGACACACACCTATTTTACCACCTGGGTTTAGTTCCCTGTATGTGGCATCTCACTTTGGTTTTGCACTTTGCTGACAAAGAAGCAATAACTTTCATTACCGAACAGCTGAATTTCCAAGTTCCCCAAATAGTCCCATCCTTATCAGATGAAAGGTTAGGAGCAAAGATTCAGCTTCATGATTCCGTAGCCCAAACTGAAGATTTGAGAGTCAAGTGCAACCCGTCCTTTCGCTTATCCCAGAAGGAGGTGAGATAGAAGGGGAGCTTTCTCTTTGCCTGGGGAAGTGTGCTTGAACAAATGAATCCTGTATTTTCTTTTTGTGTAGGGGGAAGAGACTAATCACGGCCATGTGCATTCAGCCGACTACAGCGTGGGCAGGAGGCTGAGTCCCATTCACTTCCACAGCAGATCCCCCCAGGAAGGGAGTAAGGGCGGTGGCCACTTCTGCGGGCAAAGGGCCCTCTGAGCTCGGAGCAAGATCAGACCCTGTGATCTTTGAAAGCCCACTGAGGTAGCACTGCACACCCCTTCCTTTCCCAAATCCACTATGATGCTGCCAGGGTCATCCTAGGAAATTCTGGGATGAGACAGAAGAGATAAAATTGTGTCAGCATCTAAACTCTACCTGGGTCATGCTCATGTCCAAATAACAGTGACCTGACCCAGGAGTCAAGGTTTTCATGAATCAACTACTGGTATGATGTAGCTCTGAGAAGTTACTGATTGAAGGAGAGTGTCCTGATAATGTTTTACTTGTGTAGAGGTATAGATGTTGAAAAAAATACTTGCCCAACCTTCAAAATGCCTTGTCAACAAAAAACCTGTGCTTTTTTTTTTTTTTCCTTTTCTTCCCAGGATAAGCAATAAGGAACTTCTCTCATATTCTCTCAGGTTTGTTACATAAACAATCTAGTTTTTATTGCTTGAGAATTATCCATTTATGGCTGTTAGAGCAATATAATTGTCATGGGGACTGGCATCCTCCGGAATACTGACATGAATCTAACTGCCAGCCAGTTCCTTCTGGACACAAAGCCCCTGGAACTCCTTCTAGCTCCCTCATCCCCAGTGTTAAAGCATGCACACACACACTTATTTGGAAATAATTTCCGCTTTGCAAAAAAAGGGCGAAAGAAAAATTATACAAACAACACCCTTATATATCCTTTCCCCAGATTCACCTATTGTTAACATTTTACCTCATTTGCTTTAGGGTTTGTATGCACGCTCTCTCTCTCCCTTCCCACTGAACAGATGCCCCTGTCCGAATGCATAAACTTTGCCTGGGCTATGTTCATCTCCAGGTAACAGTGACCTGACCTGGAATCAAGGGTTTCATGAATCAGCTATGGGTATGATGTAGCTCTCAGGAGTTACTGATAGGAAAGTATCTGATAAAAATCTTCCTTGTTTGGAGGTGCCAATGTTGGAAAAATATCTGACAAACTTTGAACCGGCCATGTCAACAAGACCCAAACTTGTGTTTTTTGTTTTTTTTTACCTTTTTTCCCAAGGTAAGCAATAAAGAAATTCTTCTGTACACACATGCATATTTTTTTCACATGTACATACATATTACTATTCTCTGAACCATTTTAGGGTTAGATACCAAATGGTCCTTTACTCCTAAATGCTTCAGTAAGTGCTGCCTAAGAATAGGGATACTGCCTTACCTGTCAGAGTAGTTATCAGTTTCAAAATCTACATTAACAATAACTTTATCCAATGTACTGTCTATACTCAAATTATTGAAATTTTTTTATAAGAATGTGATTATAATTGCTAATGAATTAATACATCTTAGGTCTTAGGATAGATTTTTTTTAAAGATTTTATTTATTTGACAGAGAGAGACACAGCGAGAGAGGGAACACAAGCAGGGGGAGTGGGAGAGGGAGAAGCAGACTCCCTGCCGAGCAGGGAGCCCGATGTGGGGCTCGATCCCAGGACCCTGGGATCATGACCTGAGCCGAAGACAGATGCCTAACCGACTGAGCCACCCACTTGATCTCATACTGACCTGTACGATCTCATACTGACCTGTATGGCATTCCTCCCCTCAGTAGTGCAGGATCAAGTCTAGCCAGTTACTGCATTTAGTTGTCACAATTCTTCAGCTTCATTTATTTTTGTTTTTAGTAAGCTCTATACCCGATGTGGGGCTAGAACTCACGACTCCAGGATCGAGAGTCACACATTCCACCGACTGAGCCAGCCAGGTGCCCCTAGCTTCCTTTAATCTAGAGCATTTCTACAGCTTGTTTGTTTGTTTTTAATGACACCAACATTTTTTATGAGTATGCTGCCTCCCTTCTTATGAATAAAACCTTTCTCGTTGGGGTTTGTTTGATGTTTCCTTGTTATCACATTGAGATGATGCATTCTTGGCTGGACTTCCTCCCTGTTCTCACCTCTCCTCCCATGAGGACTAATGACTCTCAGGAGCCCCTGGTCTTCTTCTCTGGCCTCCTATCCTAGTTTTTATTAGTTTCCTTTTTAATTTAGATATAATTTACATTCAATAAGATGTATAGCTTGTAGGTGTACAGTTGATGAGTTCTGACAACTGCACGCACCTGGGTCACCACAACCTACTGAGAAAATGACGTCTTATACTTGAAGCAACCTGTTTTGGTCACAGCCCACTAAGACACAGTGAAGATTCCAAGCCTACCTACGCTCTCCTGCTTGCCTTTCAAGGTATAAGAACTCTGTGACATCAGTGATGTGTCACTCAATGAGAAGCAAATCTTTCAACTGGTCGATGGTTGTCACCGGCCCATCTGCATTAGCAACAGTGGCCCCGGGCGATTCATATGGGACCACAAAGCAGAAAACAGCGGCAACTCTTTATCAGTTGCTCCAACCAAGAGATGCTCCGAGGCTGGGTCCTGGAGGCCAGAGGCGCGGCTTGGGAGGTGTAGCCCAGGAGGTGCGGCCCAGGGTTCAGGGCTTGGGAAACGGGGCCTGGGGAGGCGTGGCTTGAGAGGCGTGGCCCTGGGGATGCACGGCTTAGGAGGCATGGCCCAGGGAGGTACCGCTTAGGAAATGTGGGGGCGGGGGGGGGGGGGGGGGGGAGGCGGGGTATGGGAGACAGGACCTGGGGAGGCGTGGCTTGGCAGCTCCACTTAGAGAAGAGCTGAATCAGAGTTCTTGGTAACTCTAGCTGCTTAAAACAAACTTTGGTGACCTTTAAAAATGGACTTGGGAGGTTGCCGGCAAGCAGCTTTTAGATATAGGCACAACTCCCATCCAACTGAAATCCATGGATCTGCATGTTTGTGCAAGGAACCCAAGGAAGGGGGTGAGGTGCTGGGTGAGTACTCTGCTCACACTGAACCACCAGCTCTCAGCCTATTGTTCCTGAACCTTCAGGGCTTGGCTTAGAGGTATACACGTGCATGTAAAGGGATTCATATAGGGCATATTTTCTTCTGGCACAAAATGAATTTAGTTTCTCTAATTAGAATTTTTCATTCTAAAATGAAGATTAAATTATGAATCAAATTTTGATCATTTTTTATCATGAGGCTTTGCTATTGACACCACTTTTTTCTATACTCTAAATGAAGGCCCTATACCTTTTACTATGATATGTATGGATTAAAAACCTGAAACA